CCCGGCACTGTAATTTAAAAAATCTAATAACAAAATTCTTCAAGAATTCGTTTGTAACCTATGTCAGACAAATGAAGAACAAAGACCAGGCTTTATTAAGTTTGCTTATCTTGTGCCACACAATGCCTCAGCCACACAATCAATTTCCCCTAGCATTTATCCCTAAAGCACTTAGTGGCAAGGTAAGATCTAAGTTTCTTGGCACCAGTCCAAACAAGAACACTATGGTGCCTTGGTCATTGCCAAGCCTTCTCTCTTACACCAATGTAGAGCTGGAACAAGCTTATCTCTTATGTAAACAGTGCAGCAGACCGTCAAACCAGCTCAGAGCTCAGTGTGTGTTCCGTTAGATGAGTGTGTTTACCCCTTGCCAAGGGTGACACAAATGTCTAATGAAATTTGGAATGACATTTCATAAATGAGAAAAAACTTACAAAACACTGTTCTAGTGGACTGTACAGCATTTTGATTTTTAAATAATCATGGATTTGTTCAGGATTTCAGAGTAAGAACTAGAAATCCTTCAGAACAACTAAAAAAAACATAAAAGCATTGTAGGAACTTCGAAGATATCACAATTCTAATAAAAGTGAATACTCTTTGTGCTGTTTGAATAATCCAAAATTTTGTGATCCATGCATAAATACATTTAGATCTAGTTGTCAAGTTCAATATTGCTGTTTCCGTCATAGACTCTTAACAACCACTCAATGAGTTAAAGAACCTACACTGAGACCCTTATTTTTCCCTGTTAGTATTGGTACTTCTTTCAGCATAACACTTCACTAGGTATCAAAGTCGTCTTGTTCATTAGAAACTTGGCTTGGAAACCAAAAGAAAAAAATAATAAAGAATGGTACCAACTTTGGTGTGCGAGGCAATCTGAGCAAAATATCCTTAGGTAACATTATCATCCCCTGGTTTTTCACTAAAACAGCCTTTTTATGTATACATTGTCAAAAAAAGAGGAGTATAGGGCCTACGCTATGCCATCTTTGGAAAAAAAAAAACCCACAGTAGGTAGAACAGTAGCAACAATGCTGTACTCCGCAAGTTGAAACCAAGTTCACCATTTTATAAAGACATTTCATAAAGACAGAAATAGGTACGCCAAGTCCCCCAAGAGTCAGATTTCTGCTCAGCTTGTAAATCAAGAATGAATACAAAAGTAAAGTCAAAATGAAAATGAATCTCTCTCTCTCTCTCTCTCTCTCTCTATATATATATATATATATCTTTATCTCTCCCTAATTTTTTTTTTCTTATAAAATGTTCATTTGACTTGCCTTTCCCACAACTTTACAACATTTACGGGACGCTGATCAGCGACAGTGTGATATAGCAACAAAAACGTAAAAATGACCTCCTTTTTGACATATGCAACGTGTTAAAGTTGAATTTCCTTTCTGAAAGGTTTGTGTGGCCTTTGAGGTCGAAAATTAGTTTGTATACAACAATTGGAGTAATTTCTTATTTTGAATGTCGAGTAGACCTAGCATGAGTGCTGCTTTACTCTTACGCCATTATAATGAGAATTCAGGTGATGAATGAGCTAGATCTGAGGCCTAATGTTTTCAGTTCCGATTCTAATTCCTTTTTAGGTGAACATGCGATTTTACTTTTCAGTTTTCTCAGTCAGTAAGCCTTTTGAAAATTTCATAATGATTGAGGTATTTTTGCCGAGATACAGGTGTAGATCTAGTACAGATGTAGATCTAGATCTTCCACATCTGCATCCTAGTCCCTGGGGATAGATTCTAAGTCGTGTTATGCACTCTGCGAGGGTGGAAAGTGTTTAAATGGTTTAATGTAAGGAAAATGAACAAAAACTACTCAAACTAAAGACATAGGAGAACCATGACTCAAGTCAATAGCATAGACTAGCCAGCAGTAGCTGGCCTATAGAAGTTGAAGATCTAGATCTAGATCTAGAATCTAGATTCGAAATGCATGTATTATTTATTAGGCCTATGGCTATGTCTATGCTATGTATTGTATTACTATTACCCAAGTAAAGTCATGTATAGTGACACAAAACTACGGGCACAAATTACATTCTTTACAGTTATCTACTATAAAAGTTGCCCATTTCCTATCCTTTTATTAAAAGTAGTAACAATAAAGGATCGTGTTACCAACATACATTACGATCATAGGCCTACCTGTTTCTCTTTTATGTTTTCCCCTGGCGCCAAAGCAGCAAGCCGGGATTTGTTTTTCTCGGCGCTCTTTTGGCGTTCTTTTCCACTTGCTTGTGGATCTGCAGACATTTTTAGTTTTCAGAATTTCTCTTATATCCTAGTAAAATGTCCAGCATCCAAAAGTGAGAAAAACACAACTCTTTGAGACAAACTCCAGCACAAAACTGGATCTCGTCAATGCAGCTCTGCGAGTGCCTGCAAGCAGGCAGCCATCTTGGACTGTTTACAGGTTTCTACGATACCACAAGCGCAAAGCATGCCCCGACTTATTTGCATATCAAAGCGGTGTAGCGGTACCCTTTCCCTTGGCGAAAGTTGCTTGCCGCTTGCCGCCTTGCTCTTCCTGTCTTTGGGGCGCTTGGCAAAAATAGGAGTCGCTGTTGTTAGATTGTTAGCACATTAGCAACAGGCTCGCTGAACAATTTTTGACACACATCTGATAACATTAACAAGAGGGCCGGCTGGATCGATCGATACATGGAGTTGCTGTAAAAATTCTTACGAAAACTCAAAGTAACTTTGGCCGTTTTGCGGGTTAAGTTCAAGCTGGGCCTGGGGCAATTCGAGTCAGGAAGGGTGGCGGGGTGGAAGGTGTGTATGAAGGTGTGTGGGGTGGGGGGG